GGCAAAGCATGAGCTGGAGGTTCAGATCATGCCTAGGGAAGACGGGCCGTTGGACTGTGTGAGCCCCAGAGGGAGGGACAGGGCTACCCGGGGGAGGAGCTCCAAACTTCTACCCGGGGGCCCCTGCAGCCTTGGCCTGAGAACTAAGCTGTGCACAGGGCAGAGTGATATGGAAGTGGGCAAGAAGCAACTACTAATTAACTGTCTTCCGAACAAGTCCCAGGGCCCACCCAGGGCCAGGAGAGGTTCAAGTTCTGAGAAGCCAGAACTTGAACACTCRGCAAGAATCCCAGAGAAACCACTCGGATAGCTCCTTCAGTCAGCTCTCAAAAGGATCACATTTATCTTCAAGCAAATCAAATACTCACCAGAAGAAAGCCTACCACTCTTCCAGGAAGCAAAAAACAACTCCCAACATTCAACAACGTAAAACAATGTCCAGCATCTCATCAAGGATCCTAGACACGTGATAAGCAGGAAAATGGAATGAGAACCGAGAGTAACATTAGCAAATGCCAAGAGACCAAGAAATGACACAAGAGGAGATTAGCAGATAAGGAGCGACCAACAGTTGGCATTCAAATGCCCAAAGACTTAAAGGAAAATATGAACACAATAAGGAGAAAACAAGATACGACTCAGAACCGATGCAGCTTCCATAGCTGAACATATAGTATGTGGAACAACCAGACAAACAGTCCAAACCCCCAGATCCAAGAAGCCTGGAGAACCTACGATCCCAAGGAAACCACACCAAGGCACAGCCTGTCTCTGGGCCGGGAACAGTGACAAAGGGAAGGCTTAGAAACTGCCAGAGACGGAGAATGAAGGTGAGGAGGGCTACAGGACTCCTTTCAGAAACTGTGCAGGACCAAAGACCAGGGACTAACAGGAGACGGGAGGGCTGTGGGTTTGAGGCCAGCCTAGGCAAATGAGCAAGACTTGTCTCGGAACAAAAAAATAACGGCCAGGCCAGGGGCACACCCCTGTCATCCCAGCAACTCGGGAGGCTGAGGCAGGAGGATTGCAAGTTCAAGGCCAGCCTCAGCAATTTAGTGAGGCCATAAGCAATTAGTAAAACCCTGTCTCAAAAAAAAAAAAAAAAAAGAAAGAAAAGAAAAAAGTGTCCGGGATGTGGCTCAGTGACTCAGTGCCTCTGGGTTCAATCCCCAGGAACAAAAACTAAAATTAAAAATTTAAAATATATTAAAAAAAATGAAAAGGGCTTGGAATGTAGCTCAGTGGTTGAGTTCCCCTGGGTTCAGCCCCCAGTACTGTAAACAGAAAGGAGACAGGGAAGGAACGGTAAGGGGAGGTGACACGCCACATTCAGAAATTAACTCAAAGTGGGTCAACAACCCAGATGTAAGAGCTAAACTCATAAAATTATTAGGAGAAAAAATAAGGTTGATATCCATGACCTTGGATTTGGCAACGGATTCTGAGGCATGGCACCAAAGATATAAGCAACAGAATAAAAAATCACATACATCAGACTTTGTCCAAAGTGAGAATCTTTCATGCCTCAAAGGATGCCGCAGGAGAGCAGGAGGCCAAGCCAGAGAACAGGAGAACGCTACCTGCATCCCATCTCCTAGGGCTTAGTTCACAGTCTACAGGGAACCCCACAACTCAGTGACAGAACAACCRCCCTTAACCACAGAAAGGACGTCTGAACAGATCTTCTTCCAAGGACATGCACATGGCCATGAGTGCACGAAAGGGATTCCAACATCGTCAACATAGCAGGGAGATGCCCACCCAGACCACAGCGCATCCACTTTACRTAGACCCCGCTGAAAGCCACAGTCAAARCAGTGACGGTCACCACAGCAGGGAGGACCCGGAGCCCCTGCGTATCGCTGGTGTCCAGTTTACCCAGGGAAAGGGCCTGGACAACAGGAACGACTCACCAGGGTGCTCGGAAGGAGTGAGCCAGGAGTGAACAGTTGAGTGCAGGGTCAGGGAGGACCCACCCAGTGCCCATGACATGAGCCTTCAGCACTGCCACTGCCCCGGTCGGACACCAGCATCAGCGCCCTCTGGCCTCCCGGTCTCCACTCTGGATCTCGGGAACCTATTCTCCACGCAGCCAACTCGGTTCAACCAGTGATTGTGCAGTTCCAGACAGGCCTGGTGGGGCACGCCTGCAGTCYAGCTATTCAGGAGGCCAAGGCAGGAGGATCCCAAGTTCAAGGCCAGCCCTGGCAACTTAGGGAAACCCTGTCTCAGAATAAAAGAACTGGGATGTCATCGTGTCTCAAAATGAAAGGAGTTGTAACCCAGTGATAGAGCACCCCTGTGTTCAATCCCCAGGACCACAAAGAAATCACAGTTATGGATYGATGTAGGGAGAACGACACAAAGCAATAAGTATCACTTCTATGCATCAGAAGTCCAATAAAAACTATAAATAAGTAAAAAAAAAAAACCTCTATATGTAATATAACATCATAATTATAATTAATATCAGGAAAAAACATTCAAACAGGGCTAGGGTTGTAGCTCAGTGGTAGAGCGCTCACCTAGCATGTGATTYGATCCTCAGCACCACATAAAAACAAATAAAATAAAGGAAATGTGTCCAACTATAGTTAAAAACATATATATACTAAAAAAATCTTTTAAAAAACACTCAAACAATATCTAGAAATTAACACAACAAAAATGTGCAAAACTTTTGTGGAGGTAAGAAAGATCCAGAGAGACGTTTTATGCCATGGACACAATGACTTGGCATTATAAAGTGAGGAATCTCTTTTGTCGTAATCTATAGYTGCTGTGAACTCCTACTGAAAACTTGGTAGGAATTCTTGAAATTTACTCTAGAGTGTATAAGAAAAATAAAGATTCACAAATGGGTCCTCCAATTTTGAAAAAGAAAGGAAAAGAGGGAAGATGAATTCCTACCAAGTTTTCAGTAGGAGTTCACAGCAGCTATAGATTACGACAAAAGAGATTCCTCACTTTATAATGCCAAGTGAGCGACAGTGAGTTGCTGTTGGGGAGCAGAGAGGCAAACAGGGAGCAGGGGTTAGAAGCAGAGCTGTGTGAACAGGGAACGTGACGAGGCTTTCGAGAAAGGGTAGGCTCTCTGGGAAGGGTGTCGASGAACCTGGTCCATAGATGGAGGAAAACCCAAGTTGTCTCCTATTTCATTCCTTGGCGGGGG